CATAAACTCACACCAAAATCCTTCTAAAACACTTCCTAATTACTTCTCTAAACTCCCCTAATTACTCTCCATGAGAGGCGTCAAGCCCCTCTATTTAAAGAGGAGCCAAACACCTCCTTTTCCAAAAGACACACCCCGTCATCCAAGCGACACACCCGTTCTCTCCAAGAGATACATATCTTCATAAAAAATCTTTTCCAAGTGTCTAAATTCATTGAATCGCTCCATGAGGCATCCAAGTTGTCCATAAGCTTCTAGAACATCCCAAAATGGCCTAAAATAGCCCAAAGCGGACCAATAAACATCCCAGACGCTAAAGCATCTATGTCTAGCGCTATGGCGCCTTTTTTAGTGTTATAGCGCCACTCTGTGTGTAGCTCCATCATTTTTCCCCCTTTTTCTCCATTTCAGCTCTATTTCGCTCCGTTTCAGCTGTGTTCCGCTCCAGATTGATATACCTATAAGATATACATGATAACAACCTTTCTTTAAAGTGTAATTTTATTAAAAAGCATGGATTAAATATGAATGAGGTTAAACAAGGAAAGTCATATTAAAATGTGTCATATCATAATTAGTTTCATTTTCACCAAAATTTTATTTGTTGTACCTAAAGACAAAAATATGCAAAATACATTCCTTTAAAATGTAATATAATTAAAATTGTGCATAAATGAGCATAAAATGTACACTAAAAATAGGTAATTTTTAGGTGAATCAGTCTCACACCAATCTCGAGTGCTGAGAAGAGAAATCAGATGTCTTACTTTATTTAAGGGAGCCTTACACCTACCTTAAAGCGTTGATTAGAGAATCATATGCCTTGCTCCATTTAAGGGGGTCTCACACTGATCTCAAAGTGCTGAGAAGGGAATCAGATGTCTTGCTCCATTTAAGTGGGTCTTACACCTATCTACAGTGCTGAGAAGAGAACTAGTATGCCTTGCTCCATTTAAAGCAGTCTTACACCTGCCTAGAAGTGCTAAGAAGAGAATTAGATGTCTTGCTTTATTTAAGGGGGTCTCACACCGATATCGAGTGTTGAGAAGAGGACTAGGATGTCATGATCCATTTAAGTGGGTCTTAGACCTGCCTCGAAGTGCTGAGAAGAGAATCAGTTGCCTTGCTTCATTTAAGGGGGTCTCACACTATCTCGAGTGCTGAGAAGAGGACTAGGATGTCTTTCTCTATTTAATGGGGTCTTACACTTGCCTCGAAGTTCTCAGAAGAGAATTAGATGTCTTACTCCATTTAAGAGGGTATCACACCGATCTCAAGTGCAGTGAAGAGAATCAGATGTCTTGCTCCATTTAAGAGGGTCTCACATTGATCTTGAGTATAGAGAAGAGGACTATGATGTCTTGCTCCATTTATGAGGGTCTTACACATGCCTCGAAGTGCTGAGTTTATGAATTGGTGAAATGCAGGAATTTATGAAATCGTAGTGAATGTGGAGGTGTTGTGAAATTGTGTAGCTTTGTTTAGATTTAGGGATTCGTGAAGTTCATGGAAAGATTGTGTGATTGTGAAATTTGTGCAAGTTGCATAAATTTTTAAGAATCATAGAACTTGTGTTGCGAAGAGTGTGGAATTTCAAGTGAATTTGTTTATCATTTTTTATCATTTTCTTTTATCTTTTAGAGGTTTTCACAAATTGATTTTCTTTTTTCCCTTTTTAATTTTGGATTTTAATTTTATTCCTTTTCACATTCTTATGTATCATTCTTTGTTCATTATAATACGAGACCAACACCAGGTCAATTGGCTTTACATCGATCGCACAAAGGTGGCAACCCGAAAACACAAGTGCTAAATCCAAAAGATGATCTTCATTGATTTTCACTAAAATCCGATATAGCTGAATACATGCTGAGAAAACCCAAAAAAGTGTCATGAATACATCCATGCAAAAACTGTAACCTTTCATATCATATCATTTCTGCTCTAGCGCAGTCCAAAAAGTCTTGTAACGCTCCAAACAGAGAATATTACACCCTGAACACTCGATGAACGCTCCAGCTGACAACTTCTATCTCACTATATCGGCATTACACCTCGGACATCTTGCACACAACTCCTCAGGTGGGTACTTCGGTAGCACGGGCTCTGTGGTAGCATCAAGCTCACTTTCTTTGATTGGAAGGCTGGTATAATGCTCTTCCGGTGGCTGAACATGAATCTGCTCCTCGGTAATTGAAAGAGGCTCTATAGATGTCTCTCTGGCCTGTCTCCTTTCAAGACGATCCAAGGCTGTGTGCATGTGACGATTAGCATTTTCCATCTCAACAATGTTTTACTCTCATGCAAAACCTGTGGGGATTTCTCTAAAGAGGCACTAACTAACTCCCTTGTCGGTGTCATGACCATCGACTGAATCTGCTTGACCATTTCCATCAGGTCACGAGTGTCTGGAACTTTTTCTGCAACCTTCTCAGACTTCTTCCCCTTCAATGATGATTCTACTTTAGTACTGATTCTCATTATTGGTTCCAATCCATCCTTCTCTTTGTAACCGACTATGTTCATTAGGGAGCTCTCATACTCCACATTGACTTGTCCATAATCTAAGTCAAAATTTATGATACCGCCCCGTGCCACTTTTCTCTCATCCAGTGCGAGATTCAAGCCATATTTAAAAGAGAAGATCAACTTCGGTCCTGACATTTCCCTGTGGAATATATAGGAGAAACATCAACGCGTTGAAATCCCAACGAATAAGAACAAGAACAGTTTATTTACAAAAAAACTTACATGCTCTTCCTTTTTTTCATCAAACTATTGGTGATCATAAGCAATCATATGACATGTTTACTAAATCTCATCATTTTGGTCGATTTCATTGACTCCACTCAAAACATCCAGTCTCTTGAATTTGCAAGGATTCATCATTATGAAGGATAGTTTGTATTTCTTTTATATTCTTTTTAATGTCTATAAACAATCTTGGAAGATTTATATACATAGCACTCAATTCCTATGTACTTACATATGTAACACCTAAACTTTAATTTTTACATACATCCCACCTTACCCATGCATGGAAAGGTGTACTTCACAGCTTAAAAGTTAAAATGGTGATAGTTTTCATGTGATATGAATGATTTTGGTGCCATAGATATAAAAAGTAATGTTTTGATGTTAAATACACATTAATATGATCTCATCACTTACTGTCCTCTGTCTTGAATGATGATTCTACTTTAGTACTGATCTTGAATGCTTTCATCACTTACTGTCCTCATTCTACACTTTTTTTTGTTGTCATTATTGCTACCTATACACAAGTTGATGAACATATACTCCCTAATCCTAGTATGTTTGTGGTTTTCTCTCTTTCTATTTTATCATTTCTTTGGAATTGAATTAGACTTCCAACTTTGCTACTGCTGCATTCATATACCGACTTCTATACAAATACACATTAATATGTATTATGTCCAATTTGCAAGCTTTTGTTGACTATTCTTGTTGGTGCCTTTCTTGGTCTGCTACTTCGGTATTGTTCTGAGCTCATGTTGAGGGTATTTTTACTTTCTTTTTAATTTCTTTTTATACTTATTTCTTTTTTTATTATATATATATATATATATATATTGGTGGCGGCTTGTGCTTTCCCAAAAGGATAAATAAATAAACATGTACACTTTAATCACTCATTCTATACCTCATATTTATCAGATTTGCCCTACAACCTCTCAAATAATAATAAAAGAAGACCTTAATAGATTTCCAAGCTATTACATGTCAAACAAGTATATAAATCATAATAATATACATTTCATATTCAACAAAAAAATATGCCAAATATTTATACATTGACCCAATTTTTAAAGTTTATCTAAACACAATTAATTAATGGATATAACATGGAAATAATGTAACAAAGACCAAGCCATTAATTGAGATTCCCACACTCATTTGCTTGATTTAATTTAATCTTTAAAGATAATAATAATAATAATACTAATAATAATAAAGCAACCCACCATAGTCGAAAAGGCAAAATACCAAACACAGATTTTTTTTCCTTCTGTTCTGTTTTGGGTAAACCAAATAGAGATTAAGTAGCTACAGATTTGAATGGCACGGAAAACCATAGCAGTTTACCAAAGTTGCTTTTGAAGAGAAACAATCTTCCATTTTTCTATTTGTTTTCCTTAAATTTGCATAGAGACCACATAATTTTAATATTTTGACAAACTTGACTTCTAAATTTTGATTTTTCTACTTGTATGACCCTCTTTTATGCATTAAATTATTTATTTAATAATTGAAAAATTAAAAAAAATGTAATATTATTAATATAATATGCAAGATACATAAGAATTATGTGATATGTAAATAAATGCCACCTTTTTAAATTGAAAATTTTGCCCGTATGGGCTATCTGCTTCGGTAGGCGGGTTAGGTATTTAACATAGTCCAAGATTGAGTTTTGTTAATAAAACAACAACCGGATTTGATAATTGAAGGAGTTGTTGAGCAAAGTTCTCTTTGAAAGCGAAGCTGCTTTGAATTTATTAAGAAACTACTTTAGTTTTGTTCTGTTCTTCAACGGCTTGATTGTAAAGCAAAGTCCTACCAAACATGTTCTTTAATCTAATTTACTCTAAGAAATGTCATTTGAACGTCATTGTTGATTTAATTTAACTTATCTTTGATTTTGACTAAAAAACAAGTTGACATGCAAAAAAATTTTATCATTTGAGATTGAATTTTTAGTCTATTTCACTGAATTAAAATTGGTTTTCCACTTGCATAAATGTAAAACAAATGATTTTGATGAAAGAATTAGCATAAACAAGTATCATGCTTGACAACATGCTACACATATTAACATGAACTTTTGCATGAATGAAGAGTATTGGAAGGTCTTAATGATGAAACAATATTTCAATCAAAATAATGTATAATGATTTTTAATTTAGTTTTTGAGAGCAGCAAGGCCAACTAACATTAATAATAATACAGAGATTAGAAGTCTCAGGTCTAAAAGCATAAAGCAAAGCACACAGGAACCATGTCCCAGATTAATACATTGGTACATCAAACCAAACCACCAAATTCTTTGATAATTTAACATGTTGTCGTGCAAATAGATTAATAACATGTTCCATAATTACTAGAATTTTATTTGACAGAAAAATGCAACATTTCAAGGAATTTTTGCAGCCCACTTGGCCTAGTGATTAGGAGATTAGTCTCAAACTACATGGACTTGTATCCGAGGCCTAGCATTTCATAGAATTTGATCGATACAAAGAAATCATGAGTGGGCCACTACATACTATGGGATCCATCCATAGGTCAAATTCGGCTTACTAAACATTCCAAAATAGCCAAATTCTGCTAGTTCATGTATACCAATCAGCAAGCAGAACCCAAAATTCTAATTCGCAGTATCAATATGAGAGTTCCAAGAGAATCCAATGGCATGAAAGCTAAACGAAAAGACATGAGCAATGAAATGTACTCGAAAGCTGCTGAAGCTTCATGGGTAGGCCTGCAGGCCACCAACATAAGTGGCGGAAACACTGGAAGGTATGTTTTGTTCAAATTCTTCCCATGAAGAAGCTGGCAATACGATGAAGTCAGCATACTTCCCTGGGGAGAGGCTGCCTATTTCATTGTCGAGGAAGCAGGCATAAGCAGCTCCTATGGTGTACCTACAAATTGGATACAATTTATAAGTGCTTTTAACCATCTATACTCTATTTGGTGCAGGGCTTTAGTTCCAAGCAGCAAGATCTCGGAGTGCATAGGTTTGTACATGTGTTTGCAATTCGGCGCTCATATCCCACCACCTCAACAAAAAGGAAACCCAAAAATGTCATGTTAGATATTTTCAATTTTTCTTCACCTTTTTAAACCAAAGCAAGAGAAAAATATATAAATAGGTAACTTATATAAAAAATTGAGATACATAAACAGTCAACTTATATGACTGCTGTATCAGGATCTGTAAAAATTACCATGCCAAATCATTTTATGTGGATATCACTTTACATTGTCTTAATCAAGAATCCATTGTGGCGGTGCAGCTTTGTCCTCCAGTCAATAAATGTCATTATAGAACAGTTTCCAAGGGTAGAAAATACAAAATATAATCTAAAATACTATGTAAATAAAGGGGAAAGAAACCAGACGAAATAAACATAAAGTTCAAATCTTTTTGCCCTTTTCATGATATAAGAGCTCTAGGAATAGAAAGTTTTAAAATTTTTTATGCAGTTTTTACCCTCTTCATGATATAAGAGCTCTAGGAATAGAAAGTTTTAAAATTTTTTATGCAGTTTTTACGTACTCCAAAATCCCTTTTATTATGTGTTGTCCACCTCCCTGCCTCTCATAATGGTATGTTAAACATGTTATATTTTCTGAATACTCGCGTCAAATATCATTTAAATTTGATTAATAAACTGAATAGCAGATACATATAATATATGTATGTATGATATATAACTCATGAATGTTTTAATAAGTTAAAGCATTGCTTGGTTACGCAGTTTGTGCATTGAAGCAAAAATGAAAGCTTACACATTATTTTTGGTTTAACTGCTATTAATACTGCTTAGTAAAAAAAACCTGGTAATTACTATAACAATAAATTATTAACTTACTCGATAGCTATATGAAATGCATTAAACAAAAAAAGCAAGAAAAACTTATTGAAGTATAAGAAATGCATCATCAGAGCTTACGCCTTGAGAGCATCATCTAGTCCAACACGCTCGGTGGGAATCCATGCAGTTTCTTGTCCAGGGATGGTTCTGGTCATTGCTGTTTTGATACTTCTCAGTGGATCAATGTCAACAACCTGCATGCAAAAAATTTAATACACATGCAAAAGGAACTCAGGTTTTGCCAACTTAGAAATAGTTGGCCAAGCAAGTAACGATTAAACAATAAAACATAAATAACGATTAAAAAGCTTACCGGCCAGTCAGAACCAAAAGCTAATTTAGCACCACCAGTAAGAAGAGACCTGAACAGATAAGACCCTTTCTGAGCTCTAGCCTTCCCAATTTTCTTTTCAGCAGACCTGATATCATCCAGTAAATGATCTGGCTGGCAGAAGCAAAATTCAGGGTATCTATAACTTTCAACGTCCTTGATATAGCAAAGCAGCAAAGAACATGCACGAATGTTGAGGATTATAATCTATTTAGAACAACAACAACAACAACAACAACAAAAACAACAAACCTTTATCCCATCCTACTAAGTGGGGCAGGCTGTATGAATCTTTTTCTTCCATTGAATCCTATTGAGTGTCAAATTTTCATTTAATTCTAAATGACTAAGATCATTTTTATACAATATGCTCAAGTCTTTTTAGGTCTACCTCTGCCTTTCGTAACAAAAGTTGAATCTAAAACATCTATTCTCGTAACTAGATCATCATGGTCGACGTTTAATGTGACTGAACCATCTAAGATGACTCTCTCTAATCATGTCTGTCACTAGAGCTACACCAACCCTTTCACAGATAGATTCGTTTGTCATTTTGTCTCTAAGTGTCAAGCCAATCATCCACTAAGCAATTCCCATCTCAGCAACACCAAATTCTGTTTTATGCTTTTCTTTTAAAGGTAAACATTCTGCATCATAAAAAATTGTAGGTCTCAACACCATCTTATAAACTTGTCTTTTAAGTTTAAGCAGTACTTTTCTCACACAACAGGCCCGATGCATTCCTCCACTTTAGTTAACCAATCTAGATTATGCAAATAACATCCCCTTCTATATCACCATCACTTTGAACAATAGACCCGATATATCAAAAATGTTCACACTTTTTAATGATTTGATCACCCCTAGTTACAACTCTACCACTAGAGCTACAGCTAAAACCATATTCCATGTATTCAGTTTTAGATTTACTCAAACGAAGGCCTTTAAACTCCAAAATGGACCCCCATAGTTCATGTTTTCCCCGAACTCTTTCTCTAGTCTTATCCACAAGAAGGATATCATCAACGAATAGTGTACAAAATAGAAAAAAAAGGTATGAAATGGTCCCAAGTCTTTGCAGGAGACAATTTTTGTCCTAGAGTATATAAAAGTATTGAATTAGTCCCCAAACTCATTTAATATAGGCTGAAATAATCCTTATATCTTTTTTTTAAAAAAAAGAGAAATGTTAACCCCCATTAAAAGAGTCTAAGAATTAATTTGACACTTCATGACCCCTATACACTGTTCGCGGACAATTTTGAATGTTTATTTTTAAAGATTATAATCTAATTGAATTGATGATAATATATTCCTTTGAAATTAGATGATTCATAGTGTGTTGAGATTTGTATCTAATTTATGATTATATTTGTAAATAGAGAAAGTGTAAGGATTAATTTGTAAAAATATTGTAAGGATATATTTAAGCCCAAGTCATTAATCAAAATGAACTGTGATTTATTAGAGCAATTTTTCGTTTTGGTATCAGAGTCCTTAATCCTAGCTGCTTGCTCCGAAGAGTCGGGATCGGCGTAGAGAGACCTGAGACGTCTTTCTCATGAAGCAACCGTGAACTGCTCAATTTGACGAGACGGAATCAATGAAGAGAGACTCGAAACTCCCATTTTTTCTCATCCTTCGATGGCGTCCTTGCGAAGCTGCCGCGAACTACTTGATCTGACGTGTCAGGATTGCTGTATAGAGACCCAAAACTCCCATTTTTATCATCCTTCCATTTTGTCCTCGCAAGGAGGTTTCGGCTTCAAATGCAGGGAAGCAGGAGAAGCTTTGGTAGTTTTCGTATGCAGCACTCCTATCGCTGCCTTCTCAACAGGCTCTAACCACAACTATATTGCAGGAGAGACTGGCACAGAGAGGTAGGCCTGTTATGGTCTTGTGCACGGCTCTGCGGTGAGGAAGGCAACGAAGAAGGGCCTTCATTTCTAGAGTTTCACTTGATGACAGAGAGGAGAAAAGGCAGCGCAAAAGGGCCTTCATTTGGTTGTGTATATTTTTTGAAGGATAACAGACATCGGTAAGGAAGTTGAATCCCAATGATGAGAAATGCATTTTCATGGGTTATTCCATTACCCAGAAAGGGTATGTTTGTTGGAGCTTGATAGAGAAGAGTTGTTTGTGAGCATTGATGTGTTCTTTAGAGAACTCAAATCATACTACACCCTAGAAGTAACCTCACCCTTTAATGGCTCACCAGGTATTGAAGGTAAGAGGTAAGAGGGGGTACGTAATTGTGAGAGGTCGTCCTATGATTTGGAATGAATCAGTTGAGAAGCCCAAAAATAAGGAGATTAAACAAATAGATGGTGAGATTCAAGTTGAAGGGGAGCCAATGGTGTATACAAAGAGTAATCAGGATAAAAGAACTGTGCCTGCAATGTCAGTCATGTCAGCTAGTCTCTTTTCCTGGTCTACCTCGACTCTTGTGACACCTAATCCATCGACCTCAAACTCAGAATGCATAGGTGATATGATTCCTCTTATGTCTACTTCCAACGCCATAACTTTAAGAAGGACCTCTCGCAATAAAGTGAGACATACTCTCTTCGTCTTGGATGAGAACATGACATTGCTCAGTTTGTTTTATACTCTAACATATCACTTATACATGAAGAATTCATTGCATCTTTGGACACTGTCTTTATACCCAAGTATTGACATGTAGCTAAAGACGATCTCAAGTAGAAAGCGATCATGCATGAAGAGCATGGTGCTCTCGATAAAAACCGAACATAAAAGATAGTGTCACTACTATAGAAAAAAATTAATTTGGCTCAAGTGAATGTTCACAATAAAACAAAATCGAGAGAGGAAAGTGGAGCGTTACAAAGGACGATAGGTGTTAAAAGCGTACAGTCAGATGTGTGTCAATGGCTTTGACAAAACATTTGCACCAGTAATGAAGATAACCACAATGTGAATACTAGTTTCTCTGAGAGTGAATGATGGGTGAAGGTTACACTAACTCAATGTGAATTATGTGCTTCTTCATGGTGATTTACTAAAGAAGATGTATATTGAGATATCACCAAGATTATGTACATGTGAAATAGTTGGCAAGGTGTGCAGGCTCAGAAGGTCACTTGATGGCTTGAAATAGTCTCCTCAAGCCTAGTTTAACAAGTTTAGAAAGGTTATATTGTGCATAGAATATCAGCAGATCAATGTCAACCATACGATATTCTTTCGACAACATGGATGTTACACCATTATGTTTGCTATGTATGTTGACATAATTGTTAGTGGTGATGATGAGATAGAGATTGTTCAGATAAAAGGTAAGATTGGGCAAAGAATTTGAGGTAAAAGGTCTTGGATAGCTCATATTATTTCTTGGGATTGATGTGGCCCGTGGACCATAGGGGTGATCTTGTCTCAGAGGAAGTATGTATTAGATCTCCTGACGGAAACAAATATGCTAGGATGCAAGGCTATAATCCCTCCAATTAATCAGAAAGCCAAGCTGAGCGCAGAGACAGGAGAGTCATTTGATCGTGAGAGATACCAGAGATTGGTAGGTTGTTTAATCTACCTAAGTCACACTCGTCCTGACATCTCATTTGCAGTGAACGTGTTAAGCATATGGACGCAGTGTATCAGATTTCAAGATACCTAAAGAGTGCACCAGAGAAGAAATTGATCTTTAGGAAAAATGGGCATGGATATTGATGTCTATTGTGACTCTGATTAGGCAAGTTGTGTTGATGACTGGAGATCTACATTAGGATATTACATATGTTCGTAAGGGAGAACTTAGTAGAAGAGCAAGAAATGATCGGTGTAGTGAGGTCAATAGCAGAGGTAGAGTATAGGGCTATGGCTTTAGCAGTTGTCGAGAAGATGTGGCTGAGAGTCTTGTTGGTAGAGCTCAAGGTGGACCAAGGAACTCAAATGAAGATGTGGTGAGACACCAAGTCAACAATCAAAATTGCCAACAACCTGATGCAGCATGATGGAACTAAACATCTGGAGATTGACGGGTTCTTCATCAAGGAAAAGTTGAATAACATAGTAACAGAGCTAAGTCATATAGCCACTTGAGAGCAAATGGCTGACCGCGTCAACAAGGGACTTAGCTCATGAGAAATTGTATATGTTATCTGACAAGATGGGTTTAATATATATCTTTTGCCCATCTTGAGGGAGATTGTTGAAATTTGTATCTAATTTATAGTATTGTTTGTAAATAGAGGAAGTCTAGAGATAATCAGATGTCGGCCAGATGTAGAGTTGGTGTTCATCACAATTCGAGTTGAAGTAAAAAATAAATTTGGCTATGTGGTTAGGAGATTAGCCGGCATTGGGAATAGAGAAATTGGGGAGAGGATAGGGCTTTGGAATTGGCATCTTGATGCCTTCTCTCGGATGAAACATATTGCTTTTCTTCGATCGTCTCCTCATTCGAACAATCAAAAACAAACGAAGAGATCGAGTGAGAGGAGAAACTGTCGTGCCCTAGTCGAGAAGGGAAGATGACACAGGAAGAAGTGTGTTACTGGTGTGCAGTGTAGAGCTGCACGAAAAAGAGGAGGAAGAAAGAAATCGTGCTAGCGGGCTCAACTTACCCAAGTTTGGCGTCGAGCAACTTCGGCACCGTCTTAGCGTGCAAGAGTAACATCCGAAGGAAGGGAAGTCGACCCCTAGTCAAACAGCTTTGGCATTGTGCTTGCATAAATGAAGAGGAAGAATGTTTGTGAGCCCTGTGTGTAATAAGAAGGCTCCCTATTGTTGCTAAGCACGCACGAGGTTTAGGGCAATCAACAAAAGACTTAAAAGTAAATTAATAAAAGGTTACATATTTATGAGTGTGAATTTAATTAATTAATGTGTTAATATAAAGTTACTTAAAATAGGCATCGTAAGTGGAAAACTTGATTCCAAGGAGAACCAAGTTGGCCCGTGCATGAAATTGAGTTTTATGTGCGAACGATAAGAACCAAATCTTCTAGATATTTAATATTTTATGATGTAAATTTGCTTAAATTAAAATTATTGGTTTACTTACTAAATACTAATAACATGCTTAGTTTAATCAAACAATAAAGGTAAAAGACTAGAGGTTGAATTAATTAAAGTTAAGAAAAAAGAGAAGA